GTGGTTGGAATGGCTCTGGGTTAGGTGGCACCATAGTATTTGCTCCTCCTCTCCGCAACCCACGACTCCCGGCCAAAGAAGGTTACACGGAGGAGGGAGCAATTTCCCTGAGGAACCATACCGAGTGGCGAAGCTATCGGGTTCAAGTCCAGGGTCGATCACTAGTCTTCGTCCGGAGGGTTTTCATGGCCCACGCTAACACTACGTCAACGCACCAGGGTACGTACGTTAAGCTGGAATCACCGCAGTCGGTCGTGCCGTTCGGGCGGAACATTGACTGCACTGTGCAGGGTGGCAACGGCTGATCCCCGGGCGGTGAGTCAAAGGCGACCATTGGGAAACTTCAGTGGACACAGTCTTTAGGTGTCTCGAGTCTCGACATCGTCGTTTGTCAGCAAAAGCACGCCGTGGAATAGTTATGTGATGGGATGATGGGATCAGGAAAGCTGCGCTTGCTGGTTGAATATCTTTTTGGGGGCTCCATGCAGCGAGTATGGGTCGCTAGAGCCGCTCTACAGCGATAGAAGACTTTTATTTTTTTATTCTTTAGGTCCTACATAGCATTTAGTCGCTCTCCCCAGTACATGTCCATGCCTTCTACCTCTGCTGCGAGGCTTACCCGATTGACTTGGCAAATTGACTTGCGCACCAAGCGGAGTTTGAATTTGGCTGGGTTGACTTGTGTAACTTGTGCGGGCGTTGACTTGTGCTTGTGCCCTTTTACACTCGCTCTCCCAACCATACAGAAACATCACAGGACTCATCCCCAAGCCTGCCAAGACACCCCCAACTTACTTAGACGTGCTCGGGACTATCCTTGGCGGCGGTCGGCAAGTTTGATGGCATCATCACCAAGACTGATGTCGTCGTCGCTGTCGTTATCGACGAGCAAAGTAATATATATATATTTTTGGCGGATGACTTGAAAGTGTATATACCTCTCTTGAGGCATTCCCTTATATGTAGTCCAATCAATTGAGATTGTCCCGGACCACAGTGTCGCGCGTTTGTAACTTATCAACTCATGAGTCTGATGCAGTTCATTTTAATAATTCCATGCTAACTAGGCATCCGTGTGGGGAAAGCCACCGATCTTACTTGCGGGTGCACATATTGACTTGTGCGGGTGACAAATTGACCTGTGCACCCAAATCCCCGCACAAGTTGATTTGTGCCCGCACGACATGACCCGTAGAAGGACGACGGGTTAAATATGAGTCACAGCCCTTGGTGACGAGTCCTCTTGTTTGACACTACAATGGCGCTTCTCTGAGCTTGAAAGTCACTCGCTGCACGCTAGAGGTGTCCACGATGTATGGATATTACACTGAGTGTTTGTCCATCGACGAGTCGAACACCTAGTGCCGGCTCATATCAGGACCCTAGCATATTTTGTGCAGCTACAGTTCAACATATGTGCGTGTATAAGGAAATGTACCCGCACAGTGAGTATCGGTTCAAGGAAGAACTACCACAATACAAAGGATGGGTCTAATCCAACGGGTCTCCACAACAAAGATATAGCGACTCACGGGGTACGACATTCACTACAGAGGGAATGCAGTTGACGACTGAACGGTATTATTAGGGCTCTCACGATGTGTCCCAAGTCAATCCAGTCAGTGTACATCCTGAAAAGCTATACACTATCACTCAACGGCTCAGCTAGACAAGTGCTTCTCCGTGGCCCTCGAAACGTTGGCCTCGGCTTCGCACGCCTTTACTCTTCCCTTCCTCCTCGTCCATCCGTGGTATATCCGGATCACCCGATGGGACTCGCTTTACGCGCTTTGGATGGGGTTCATCAGCTGTATTATAAGCTGTGTTCGCAGCCTCTTTCCTCTTTCCGGTGCGCACCGGCGGAGGGTCCAAACTCGTTGGAATCTCGTTGGCAGGAGCAAGGACAGCTGCCCCCGTCGAAATAGCGAAGAGGAAGAGATGATTTGGAATGGTAGAGGAAGGTGCGGGGTGATGCGAGGTAAGAGGTAGCCCATCAGAGGAAATGTACAGCGGTCCAGGTGAGATATGTTTCGGAATGTGATGAATAGAATATTCAACCAACTGCATATAAAGAGACTAGTTATATTTCCTTCTAAATCCGAGCTTACGCTAGCTCACGACGCCGGAAATGTTGCCAAGTTAACCATCGACGAAACGTGCGGGGGTCACGTGCACACGACAAATTGACTTGTGCCGCCAAACACTCGTGCTTGAATGGGCGTTGCAGGAAGAGTTTTTTGTCTGTTACCTACCAATCCTGGGAGTGGAATGATATAGGCTGTCTCTGTGCACAGATATTATATGCCATAAAAGCCCAGTGATTAAATTACGAGCCTTTTTGTATCGCAGTTCAATTGCCAGAATTTGAATGAGCATACATATCTCTGGGCTGGAAATCGGTTCCTGATCACACATTAATACCATAGGACCTCAATTGATGCCACAAGTCAATGATCGGGCCAGTAGTATCACGGCGGGTATCACAAAAGTCCCACTGACGGTGATGATGGGGCCTACAATTGACGAGAACTTAGAAACTGCCCCGACAACTTTGGGCAGGCAATAAGGGAGTCATGTATATGGTCCTGACATCCAAAGAACTTGTACAGGAGCAGAGGAATGTGCCCGAGTCAACGGCGACCAAACGTGCGGGGCAAGTCAACAAATTGACTTGCACGTAAGCATGCTGACTTGTGCGGGCGACAAATTGACTTGCGCACCCAAATCCCCGCACAAGTCAATACAAGTCAATCCACGCGGGCGCAAGTCAATTTGGCAAGTCAAAAAGTGAACCCTCCTCTGCTGCGGCTGAAACATTTTGAACGAGGATTACCGTTCGTGCGAAGTTCGACGCTTCAAAATAGCAGACGTGTCTACTTGCAGAATTCATCCAAGATAGTCTCTTCCACCTCTCCTTCGGGCCTTTGTCATCACAACCTCGGAAATGTCACCGTCTCAATGACGCTAGGGAGTACAATTCCCCTGAATCGGAAAATTAAGTCGCTGCGAAGGTGGGGAGGAGTTTTTGAAGCGAGCGAGGTAGTTTGTCAATGCCTCGTGCGATGCCGTCATAAACATGAGCGGTCAAACCGTCCGTTGATGACGTCGAGATCACTAACAATCTGTGCTCAGCGGATCTCACCTCGCTCCTTTCAAGAGATGTCTCCCTCTGCTCAAGGAGCATCATACCGCTGGGCTTGGTGAGATATTTTGGGCTTGTCAACTGACCATGTAGCAGCGCACTTCCTCCGCGCATTGAATTGTACGGCAGCATGACGCTTAGGCGCCGCCTGTTGGGTTACTGATTTCGGCGCTCTGCCCCCACCGGACCATTCATTCGGTGAAGTCTAATTTATAACACACGTCGCCTCGGATTTTCGGAACAGAGTGGATGTTAGGTACCTCCATATCATCCCAGGCAACCAGCCCATCGTGAAATTGAACACACATTATTCATCCGGGGCCCATAAAAGTATTCCTGTCATGACCATCGTGACGGCAGTACTCCCCCTCAATGAGGAAATGAACAGCTCCACAGATCACGTCGCGCAAATCAACACCCGAGGTGACATGAGAGAAATATAGTTTCCCTTGCTGCCCGACCATGTCGATGCAAATGTCCACCAGCTCCACTGCTCCACTCTTCGCGACCGTGGTGAAGTTGGTTCCTAGTACTATGCTCTTGAATCGTGGGAAAATGTGGCAGAGCACAGTATAAAAGCAGCGCAGCTCTACTCCTAATACTCACTCGAACACATCCCTCTGTCGTTCAAACTCATTCAATAATGTTCTCCAAACTCTCTGTCGTTGTCACTTCGGTGCTCATTGTACGCCACCATTCATATTTCGGGTCTCCATCGTACTGATCAATTATTTCGTAGACCCTTGCTGCCGCCAGACCTTGGGATACGCCCCCGGTCACTCCCCCGACCTCGAACCAGTGCTGCAACAGCGTCCAGTCGTCCAGCAGCAGCTCCGTCGCCGCGGTCGCTGCCCTCCTCGGCCTCGACCTCAGCGGCCTCGATGTCCCCGTCGGCCTGGGCTGCAGCCCCATCACCGTCATCGGCAACAACTGGTTAGTACTAGAAATGTCCGGAACAAAATCCGAAACTGACGCGCATTGCCAGCGGTGGAACCAGCGTTACCTGCGATGCGCCCGAGCAGGCGTGGGGTAGCCTCATCGCCATTAACTGCATCCCCATCACTCTCTGAGTGGCGGGATCTGTGGAGGGAAGGGAAATCTTGGTGCTGATGTTGAGAGGTTTCCGTTGGAACTTTTGTAATTTCTGCGTTCCGGCGATGTTTCGTGTTCAATGCTGCGAATATAACGTCTTTTGTTATCTCTTTCCGTGTGCTGAGATGCCGTCAACTTGCTATGGTCGAGTTGGTTGGAGGCCCGGCATTCTTCCGCCATGCCGCAGACGAGGATTCAGTTTGTTTCTCTCTCCTTATAATGTGAGGCGGGTGAGGTATGCAAGTTTCGAGTCTCGACGTGCGATCATGACCACAAGAATTTATCACGATTGTAGGTGCGGTGCGGGTGGTGCGGCATTGGCTGTACTTTCCCACTGGCTGTGAATGCCTCTTTGACAAGGCGAATTCAATTTACAGAGTCCTAGCAAGTCGACAAATCAAGAAGAAGGAAAGAAAAATACACCCGCCAATCTCATGTATCGGCGGGGAATCGAACCCCGCTCACTGACTCAACGTTTTCTCCGCGATGATGTAACCAGTGCATTGAGTGCCCCGTGCACGACCGGTGCTCCCTTACCTCAACTGTGTACCTCCTGAGGTAGAATCGGATATGAGCATCCCTGCCGCCGCGAATCAAAAGGAACAATAAACAAGTGGAATCGCGCTATGCACCGGCGGGGCATTGGCTGTATCTTTGCTTTGGATGTTGAATGCCTCTTGGACAACTCGAAATCTTGGAGACACACGCTGTCGCGGCAAGCCGAGAAACCCAGAAGAAGAAAAAAGAATCATATACCAATCTTTAATGCACCGGCGGGGAATCGAACCCCGTTCACCAGGTCCAATTACATCTACCGTCCACCAGGGTGGTGAGTGCTCCATGCACGACCGGTGCTTATTTCTCTCCACTTTGAGGCGCGTCAAATAGGATTTGATGTGAGTATCCCGGAAAGCGAGAATGAAAAATATAATATCGAAGCAGCATGGACATGCACCGGTGGGGAATCGAACCCCGTTCACCAGATCCAAACCATTACCCAACGTCTCATGAGTGCGGTGGGTGCCCATGCACGACCGGTGCTTATTTCTACCTACTCGGAGCCGGATGAGAGATGCGATTTTCGAGGGTCGAGCGCAGCCAAAATAATTATCAAGAATTTAGGTGTCGTGCAATGGCTGGCTGCAATTTCGGTGTGGATGTTGAATGCCTGTTAGTTGGACAAGTCGAGACTAATTCTAGAGACATGCTGTTCCGGCAAAGGAAAGAACCCAGAAGAAAAAGACTCTACACCCATCACTCTCATGCAGCGGCGGGGAATCGAACCCCGTTCACCAGGTCCAACGGCATCAATCTCCCTACCAGGGTGGTGAGTGCTCCATGCACGACCGGTGCTTATTTCTAGCTATTGTGCAACGGGTCAGGTATGCGAATTTCGACGCGCGAGCACGCCATGTGCTATCGAGTGGTACTCTCTGTCAATCGCGGCTGAATAACGAGGTGCGGGTCGACTTCCAATTGAAATAATGCGTCGGGCTCTCACCCGACCCCGAATCGAACGGGATTCAGACATTCTGCATACAATATGATATAGGGTGGCCGGGCCATTATAATTTACGGCGGATGCACACTTTGCACAAGCGGGTGCTCGCGCTTGCCCCACTTCGTACTTAGATCCGTGATTAGGCTGCGGGTTACCTGTGGCCACCTTGGACATCGGGCTTTTCGGCCTTGCATCAGGGCATATATTTCCGTGGTCGAGCTCCCAGTCGGCGATGTATACTTGCATTATCCTCTTTGGACTCGGCGCACCTGACCCGGACGCATCGGCCGAACGCCAGGGTTCACACGTACCCGAAATAGCCGATATCCCTTCTTGCGCTCATTTCTCACCTTCCGGTCTCGTCTCCGTTCCTTCAATCCCGCTCCCGCTCTTGTATCTCACTTGCATCCCCACGCGCGGAGGCGTGGGCAATACGGGCGCTGACTATGACGCGCGCGCTCAAAATTCGGGACCTTTCGGCACAAGCCTGCATTGTCCGCGCGATGGAGTGCGCTGGCGCGGGGCTTGCAAGCGCTCCTGATGTGAAGCGTGCCGAGGCCATCAAGGCGCTGGCGCGTCGACGCTAGTCTGCCCCTCGCGCCTGTGCAGTTGTACCTCAGGCTGTTGTGCTGTTGTACCTCACGCGCATGCACCTCGCGCGGCGTTCGTCGAGGCGGTCAGCCTGCACTGCGCGCAGCTGTACGCCAGCGCAGGCCTCTCCCCTGCCCGCTTCCCGCTGCCCTCCTTCTCCCCGGATCCCCTTTTACTAGTCCGCCTCTGTCCTCGAGTCCTTCGGCATCACACCCATCATCGGCGAGCGGCCCCTCTTGCGGGATGAAGACAAACAAGGCGTGCATGGGACGAGCACGGGCGGGTGGTCGAGGCGGAGTCGGTGGTGCGTCCTTCCGTCGTCTATACGTTTCTTTTACACGCCCTGAAGCCGTCCCTCTTTGCCTCCTCCTTCCACCCTCATTTCCCCTCCCTTCCTGCATCCGTGTCTGCTTTCTTCCTTCTGCCTCGTTCGTTCCCTCTATGCAGCACGTCCTTCCTTCTTTTCCGTCTCGTTATACGTCTCGCTCCCGCCCCGCTCTCTCCCTGCCTGTTCTGCACGCATCCCTCGCCATATATTCGCATCCTTCCGGTACCTCCACTTCCTGCCGCTGCTCGCCCCCCGTTCTTCCTCTTCACCCATCCCACACCTCCGCTTCGCCCCTGCCCTTTACTTGGACGTGCCCTCCCGCTACCTGGTCATCCACGGTTATTTTGTGGCCTTTTTCATGGACGGATTGCACTGCCGTATTTTCACTACCGAAATTTGCAGCTCGGGGCTCGAAGAACTGAATATATAACATCTGGAACCTTTCGAGCTGTATCTACGGTATACGTTGATGCGCAGCCTGGTCCCAGTATATGTTCGATCACAAGCTTAGACTTGGGTCAGCCTTTTTGATCAATACCTCCAGCTCCGGCCGGATGCTGGCAAGCATATCGTTCGTTGACTTGGTGGGCTTCCAGCCTATAGAGAACGAGCGCGTTGCGCGACAGCGCGAGTTCGAGCCGACGAACGTCGCGGAGCCCTGTACGGGAATGAGGTTCAAATAAACGGGAGCGAGAGACCGGCGCGGAGTACCTGGAAGTACTTGTCCAGCTCCGCTTGCGTGAACGTCGTCGGCTCCGGGCTCGTGCTTTTTCCGAGCACGACGAGCGCCGCACCCATCGCCTTCGCGACGTCGTACAGCGAGTGCTCTTCGTTCGCACCGAAGTAGTAGCCGTTCCGGCCGTGTCCGGTGGCTTCATCTTCAACGATCGCGTCGTACAGCGTCACATACAAGTCCGCGACTGTGTGTAGTCTGATTAGGAGGTCGGGCGGCTGGGATGCGCTGCACGCACGCTCGTTAATCTCGACATTCGACCAGACGTTCTTGCCCTCCCCGACCATGCCCGACTCGCCGCGGTCGAGCGAGGCTTTAATGAGCCACGGGATCAGCATCGAGTGCGGGTTCTGGAGGCCCAGGTCGACGAAGCGGCCTGTGGCGAGGCCGAAGATTACTGCCGGGAGGATGATGTAGCTCTTGATGTAGCCTGAGTAGCGTTGAACAAGGGAGATGAGAAATACACGCGCAGATATATGTACCTTCTGCATCCGCTTGGGTAATGGCCAGGTCGACATTTCTGTGTATTTGGGTGGGGGCAAGAGTCTCGATTTGATCTGCGTCCGAGTCGTCATACACCGTGGCGTCGGAATGCATCCCCCACGCATCGTCGGCGAGGACGCCTGGATGAGTGTGTTTAATCTACATTTCAGCCGTAGAGAAAGAACCGGATCTGACCTGTGCCAGACTTGGGAATGACATGGGTAAGATGAGTGATATCAATGAATCAACAACGCTCACAGTGTTGATGAGGATGGGGCGGGTTCCCAACTGGGCGTGCCGCTTCCTCAACCCCTTGAGTGTCGCCTGTGCGGCGCCGAGATCATCACAGTCCGCCTATTGCAATTGGATCGTGTGAGTCCTTATTAAACCTCAGACCACCCACAGTGACCTCACCATGGCGATAACAACGTCCGCCTCGCTAGCCAGCTTTTCGACGAGCTCCGCGTCAGAGTGCGAGCCGACCACGGCGTGCACGCCCAGCTCCGCGAATTTCGCAGCCTTCTTGGGATCTCTGACGAGGACGGTAATATCAAAAGTATTCGCGCGCGGATGCGCGAGGAATCTGGCGAGAACAGCGCCGCCGATGTAGCCTTCCACCTCCGTCAATGAACCATCGACTCAATTTGGGCGAAACTTACCAGTTGCGCCAGTCAATAAAAAGGTGGTTTTGACTCCAGACATCTGGCTTGGAAGGTGGCTTATTAGGCCGCGAGGGCAAGAAGCGAAGATATTAAAGCAAGCGCTCGAGCCTTTAATAAGCAGGACATATACCCCGATCTCCGGGCATTGCTGATTGATAATCTGCCCCGAGGTTCGAATCCTGCCTGATCAAAATTCAGCATTCTCCGAGGGAGATATAGGGATTGGTGAGCGTGAATGAGATTTACGGGGAATCGAGGCTTAGATCGTCAATCTTGCGCTGGAGCGGCTGCTTCAGAATGGCACTCATCTTCTCTGAGATCCCCCCCCGTATTCCCGAGAATACACGGACCACTACACATCCATGGCTCAATTTCTGCATGCGCTCGCCTCGAAGCCTGTCTCGTTCTTCCAGACACACGTCCGTCACATATAATTCATGCATTTATACGCGCCGGAAGCGATGACGAGGGTTCTCTCCGCATGCTAGTGTAGGGGGCAGAATGTTTTCGGAGTGATTGAGCCGGGCACAATGGCAGAATGGCAGGCAGAATGGCGGCAGAATCCGGCAGAATTGGCACTATCATTTATTGTATTTCCTCGCTGATTGGCGTGAAATTGTACTGTAAAATCAAATTTTATTGTCCAACGCACTATCGAGTCATTAGATCCTGGATACCCCAGCCCGCCTCAGCCGCATTCCCAACAATATCAATATTATCTTCATCCGTTGCGCTTGTTTCTCCCCGATCGAGCCGTTCAAGTTCCTCAAAATCCACAACTTCACCTGCGATCACAGAACCGTGCGGAATTGCGACAGGTGCTTCATCATCAAGAAGCTTTTGCAAGTCCTTGGAAGCTTGCTCCACAATATCTTCGCCCGTATCATCGTCGTTGCCGTCGAGGGGTGGAATCCATGTGATTGGGTTCTCAAGGTCCTTTGCGAGATCAGCATCAATTCCCGTTTTCCCCGAAGTATGCATATGGTTATGCTTGCGACGCTTCACCTTCTCATCTGCCCTCGCACGCTCGTAGAGCTCATAGCCGACACGGCTCCGGATTTTCCCCGACTTTTCCATTTCCATTGTGTCAACAGCCATTAAACTGCGACGTGGTGTTTGGATGCCACCAAGGTCCGAAAAGAGGCGCTCCACCTCCGCAGAATGGGGGACAATAGAGGCTAAAACAATTGCCATGCTTCGTAATCCTTCGTGCTTGTCTTTTGGGATCCCCTCCCACCACTCTCGCGTATCTTTATTGCCGCCTGCAAACGGGGCTTTGCATTGATAATATTTCTTGAGATCTTCGCGCAATTGAATGGCCTTCTGTGCACTCCACTTCCACTGGTGCGCAATTTTCAAGGCTGTTTCAATCATAAGATCGAGAGAATGCCCATGAACTGTTTGGGAGACGGCGAGACTTTTGTAAATTTTGGAAAGAAGCTCTTTCTTCTCACTCAAAGCACTGCTTGAAACAAAGACTCTTGTAAATTTAGAAAAGAAGGTCTTTCTTGTCACTGGACAGGGACTGCTGAAAGATGAACTTTCAGCAGTAAGATG